GGATGTCAAACATGACATGTTCTTCAACTTAAAAGATACAAAGTATATTCTGGAATATTGAAATTCAGTTTTCAATATTTCACCTTCAACATAATACTAAATGTTCGAAATCTAACTGTGAAAAAATATTAAGTATCAGGTATTGAGTAGTGATTACCGCGTATTTTTAGAGCGCTAACCATCAAACACTGAACATGAAACAATGACTTATGGGTCTTGCAGACTGGGTTTGAATATTGAGTATTGAACAGTGATGTTATACGTATAAATATATATATATATATATATAGACTGAATATACAATATAAATATAAATATTACAAAATGGACATTCTACATTTTGTGAAAATAGTTGTGAAAAAGTAGTAACTGTTGAGTATTTAATGTTCAATTGTGAATCTTTTCCCGTAAATCCTGAATCTTGAACCTTAAATCTCGAATCTCAAGCCTTGGGTCTTGAATCTTGAATGCTTAACATTTATTTAAAGTGTGAATATTCAATATTAGATTAAACCTAATTGTACTACATTCAACGCAGTAGGGAAGGAAGGAAGATCACCCATCCCCATACTCCAGTACGACCGGGCCAAGTCTCCTAAGCAACATCTAGGGTTTAGGATTTAGGGTTTAGGGTTTAGGGTTTAAGAACCCAACCTCGACGCTAACCCTGGTTGAAAACCCCGAGAGTAGTTTTCACGTTAATCTAGGTATTTTCCTTGCCCAGGTCTCCTGACTTCTTGCCCGGATCTGCTGGTCTGGGTTTCCCACCCCCCACCCTAGAGCCCCTTATCCCACAAACCTTCCCACAGGGCGCCGCCGGATTCCTTCCGTGAGAATCCAAAGTAAATGGCGCTGGAGCATGCCGCAGAGAATGCTCGCATGGAGAGCGCTCCCCCGGCAAGCCAAGATTGAATGCAAGTTTAACTTGTGATTTCCTACGAACCGACAGCAAGACTTGTTGAAAAGTTGAGAGAAGAACGAAAAAACACCGGAAAAATGCACTAGAAGACTCTCTCCCATGAACCGAAAAATGCTGGTTTTGGGGGGCTGGTGCCACGAGGCTCCTCCGGGCAGGGAATCGGTGCCAGGACCTGCCACCTAGCAGAGAATGTCGGGCGCCAAGGAGGCAGCCTCCTTGCAGTCCCGTGCCAGGAGGCAGCCTCCCAGCGCCCGGTTCCCTGCCAAAAACAGTGTCCTGGCGCCCGATTCCCAGCCAGTTGGAGCCTCCTGGCGCCACACCCCCCACGATCAGCATTTTTGGTTCTTCAAAAAGATAGGTGCATTTAAAGTTGTTTTTGGCATTGCCCGTGCTTTTCTAAAGAAAAATTGTATTTCTTTTCCATGTGTCCAGAACTTTTCGTCCAGTTGTCAATGCTGCTGACTCATGTTTCCGTGAAACGCGTGGTCAACCAGCATAATGTCCAGCTGTCAATGCTGCTTCAAATGTTGCCTACATTAAGTCTGTGTTTTGTGAAAGATTCTGCCCCAGAGATCTGGGACCCAAGATCTTCACAGTACAGTTTACCTGAGAATCTTGAACGGTGGGCCGTGGATCCAGGGCAGGGTTGCAATCCCAAGGTTGAAGTTCAATCCTCAAGACTTAACTTCAACCCTGGCATATATATGTATATACATATGCATAAATATATATATATATATATATATATATATACATATACATATATATATATATATGACCATATATATATATATATATACAGATACGGTCACCCCCCCCATGATCTAGGTTGTTCTTTTTCCCTATGAAAGCCCTCGTAAATACCGTGCTGAGCATGTACGGCAAAGTTCTTTTTCAGCAAGTCTAACATTATGTGAGAAAACCTGTAAATTGTGCGAAACGCGTGTGCCTAGCACTATTTGCACGTCATCACCTAAAGAAGCACCGAAAAAAAACTTCGAAAATGCAATTTCGTGGCAAATTATTTTGCATAGGACAAGCTTATAAACACAGAATTGTATGCAAACAAAGGCACTTTTGCCCAAGAATCCAAACATCCAAAAACTCAAAACCATGAAGCCGGGACACCGCTTTTTTTGGAATTGTTTGTTTTCTCGAGGTTTTTCGGGTTTTTTGGAAAATTCCAAAAAAACGATGCGTTTTTTTCATTTCAGATTTTCAAGGCCTCAGAAACCAAGAAAACACCCGCGGAGAGTACAATCCAAAAGAACATATGGTTTTCTCGGATTGTTCCACAAAAACCCAAAAATCACTCGCGAAAACCAAAAAACAAGTGTCCCGGCTTCATGGATTCTTGGGCAAGATGTGCAAAAAAGTGCTTTTTTTTGCATAAAGAGTATGTTTGTTATAAGTTGTTCTACATGACTGCCTTGCACACACACACACACAGAGGAAAACACACACACACACACACACACCATTTTGCTTTTTTATAAACAAACTATTCGGTATGTAGGGTGTGGCGTTAACATGTAAAGTTTCAATTAGTTTTAATTACGAATGAGGCTTAGAAGAGGATGCTTTGGATGTGGCATCTTCATACAAAAAGAAATATGAAAGTAATTAAATTTAAGAACAAACGCAGCCCAGATGAGGGTTTCTTAGGGTGTGTTTCTTGGCCTTGCAATTCAAAAGTCTGAATAAGACTTGACTATGAGTGTGGCTTAGAAGAGGATCTTGGGGCGTGGCCTCTTATTAAAGATTCCCCTTAAGTGGAATTACGAACCAAACCTCAAATTACATTTCATGACGAAGCGGGGCCAGAGGAGAATTTCATAAGGTGTGGTCGGTAGATGTCGGTAGTAGAAATTCCAAATAGGCCAGCTCAGAAGAGGATGTCTTGGGGCAGGGCCTCTTAATATGTTTGATTTACTTGGGTTGTTTACGAACGAAACGGTTGCTTGGCTTATTGGCGCGTCTTCCCTTACTGCGCGGCTGTTTTGCTTTACCGCCGCTGTTTTGCTTATTGGTGCGTCTTCGCTCTCACTATAAGTGCATGTGTTGGCGCGTCTTCGAGATTCTTCAAGTACTGCGGGGCTGTTTTGCTGAGTAGCGCGTCATCGCTTACTGTGTGGCTGTTTTGCTTATTGGTGCGTGTTCGCTTACTCTATTCCGGTTCCTATATGAGATTGTTTGGTTGATTGGCGTCGTCTTCGCTCACCGCGTGGTCATTTTGCTTCACGGCGCGTCTTCGCCTACTGTGCGGCCATGTTGCTTATTGGCGCGTCGTCGCTTGCTAGATACGCTTGTTTGGTTTAGCGGCGCGTCTTGGCTTTCCGCGCGGCTGTTTTGCTTACTGGCGCGTCTTGGCTTACAGCGCGGTTGCTTTGGGCAGCCCTCGCCTCCGCCGCCGCGGAAGGGTTTGTCGATTCTGGCCCTCTGGCCCTTCTCGATGATGGGCGGGGGGGGTGGCTACGTCCATTGTCCTGCGTCACGGCTTGCTGCGAAAACGCAAACTTTTCTGAGATCACCCTGTTGCCAAAACGCCACGACCTTTAAATTTCAACGAACGCTCCACAGCGGCGAAGGGGAGGCCTTCCTTGTTTTGCCTATCGTCTGCACGTGCTGCGCGGCTGCTGCGCTTATTGGCGCGACTTCGCTTACCGCACGGCTGTTTTGCTCATTGGTGCGTCTTCGCTGTCTATATAGACTATAGTGACTATAGTATATATATATATATGCAATTTTTGGTTTACTGGTCTTACTGCGCGGCTGTTTTGCTTACTGGCTTCCGCACGGCTGTTTGGCACACTGGCGCGTCTGCTCTTGTTTACTGGCGCATCTTCGCTTACCATGCGGCTGTTGTGCTTCATTACAAACGCGTCTTCGCTTACTGCACGGCTATTTTGCTTACTGGCGCGTGTTTGCTTGCTGCGCGGCTCTTTTGGTTATTGGCGCGTCTTCGCTGCACGTGCCGGCATTTGACTTCTTGGCGCGTCGTCGCTTGCCCCGCGGTTGTCTTGCTTACTGGTGCGTCTTCGCCTACTGCGCAGCTGTTTTGCTTCTTGGTGCGCATTCGCCTACCGTGCGGTTGCTTTGCTTGCTGCCGAGTCTTCGCTTGCTGTGCAGACGTTTTGCTTGCGCGTCTTCACTAACGGTGCGGTTGTTTTGCTTACTGGCACGTCTTCAACTGACTGCGCGGCTGCATGTTTGCTTGCTGGTGCATCTTCGCTTACCGTGCGGCAAGTCTGCTTACTATTGTAATGCATCTTTGCTTACTGTGCGGCTGTCGTGCTTAACAGTGCGTTTTCGCTTACTATGCGGTTGTTTTGCTTAAATACTAACGCGTCTTCGCCTACTATTCGGCTGTTTGCTTATTGGCGCATCTTTTCCTCCTGCGCGGCAACTTCGCTTACAGAGCGGTTCTCCTGCTTACTGGTGCGTCTTTGTGCGGCAGTTTTGCTTACTGGTGTTTTCGCTTACTGTGCGGCTGTTCTGCTTACTGGTGCGCATTCGAATACGAAGGCGTTTAAGGTCCTGACGTCTTGCTTGCTGATGCTTGCTGGCTTCCTGTGCACCAGTTCTCCTTGCTGGTGCGTCTTCGCTTACTGTGCGGCTGTTTTGCTTACTAGCGCATCTTCGCTTACTGTGCGGCTGTTCTGCTTACTGGCACGTCTTCGTGCGCTGTGCGGCTGTTTTGCTTGTTCGTTCGTCTTCGCTTCCTGTCGGTGCGTCTTGACTTACTGTGCAGATGTTTTGCTTATTAGTGCGTCTTCGCTTACTTCTCGGCTGTGTCGCTATTTACGCGTCTTCGCGCTGTTTTGCAGATTGGTGCGTCTTTGCTTGCAGCAGCAGCTCTTTTGCGTACTGGTGCGTCTTCGCTTACTGCGCGTTTGTTTATTGGCACAACTTCGCTTACTGTAATGTATACGGCTGCTTTGCTTATTGAGCATCTTTGCTTAAGGGGGTCTTGCTTCTTGGTGCGTTTTGGCTGCCACTGTGAGCTTTTGCGCTTGTTCGTCGGCCTGGCGTTAGATTCTGAAACCGCTTGTCAATCTGAATTCCACAGTGCTCTGTCTGCCTGCTTCGTGAGCGTGGAGATCTGCTTCTGGAGGCAAGTGTTCGCTGCCTGACGTTGCCATGTGAGCGCAACTGCGGACTGTCCAAGACTCTCTGCTGCCATCATCACGCCTTCAGGCTCTTGTTCTCCTCCACTAAGGCTTCAGCCTTCGTCTCCAAGATTTCCACCTGTACGGCAGGGAGCCAACACAAACACGAAAACAGAACAGCGGGCGCGCACCTGGTCACCAATGGACTTCAGGCGTTCTTCGGCCTCTTTCCGTGCAGCCTCACTGTGTAAGGAACGTCGTGACACTTTGTTGAGCATTGCGACCAGAACGTTCTTTCTGGATCAAAATGAACCGTCACATCCAAGAGAGGCCTGTTCTTGCTTCAAGGCTTCGGTGAGCGCTGCCAGCTTGGTCTTGGCGGCCTTCGCATGCGGAAGCTGCTGTGGTCAGGCCACCACGCAGCGGCACGCCTTCCCCGACTCCGCAGAGGTTGTGAGCTGTTGCGCCTGCTCATCGGCCTCTCGTGTGACATTCAAACTGCTTTGCAATCTCAACACTGCCTGACGTTACCATGTGAGCTCAACTGCAGACTCTCCAGGACTCTCTGCTGCCACCATCAAGCCTTCATGCTCTCGCTCTCCTCTGCTAAGGTTTCAGCCTTCGTCTCCAAGCTCGCCGCCTGCAAAATGTCTGGAGTAGGTAGGCTCCTTGAGCCCGAATCACAAAACATTCTCTAGCTACACACGTGCATCGACACTGAACCACCCACATATATATTACGTCGACAGCTCAGAGATTTCCCGCACAGGGCTCGGGCGGCGCTTAAACATGGAACGAGGCGGAGAAGCGCAAGTTTTTCGCCCTGAGCCTGCTGGCTGCTAAGGCGAAACGACGCATCGGTGATACTCCACCAGGGGAGCTTGTGAGCATCGGAGCCACTTGCGATCGAATGCAGGGACGTAGCTCACCTTCTGCGGGACGCAGGCACAGGCCGGCAAATCTAGCACACAGGAGATCACGGCTTTGGCAGAGAAGGCCGTCGTCGGATGTTTGCTTCAGAGGCGAAGTACAGCAAAGGTCGGCTTTCGGTTTTTTTTGCACAGTTGCCTCTGCCCCGGAAGGCACGAGGCATGGACGCCGAGCACCAAAAGGCTGCGCGGTGTGTGGCGGCATCTGTGGCTCCAGCAGCCGATGGTTAGCGACGAATCGTTGACGGTCTTTGCCACAGAGAGGTCGCAGCGCAGGCCATGCTCACGAATGCAACATCATGCGCTCTCTCACAGCGAAAATCCTTTCACATCAGGGCTGGCCTGGGCCCTGCGCTGCGTTAGCAGGTCTGGGAGGCCTGCGTGCGACAACTTGCGAAGGCACACGTTCCACCGCTCAGCGCTAAGGCTGTCAAAGCTGCCTGCCTTGGGCATCAGGCCCCTGTCATGATGCTGCTGGCATGAGCATGCACTCGCGAAGCACTGCCGATGGACTCCGTCCTTTTCCCGGGCGAGGAAGCACTGCCCGCACCTCAGGGTCTATTGTCAGATACCGCCAGTCTACAGCCTACAGCCGATGCAAGATCATGCGAGCATGCAATGCACCAATCTTGGACCCGACAACACGTGGACCAGACACTGCATCTGAGTGATCAAGCGGCTGGGTCGCACCCATAGCTTTCAATGTGCACGAAGCTTACACAAATCCCCAAAGTCACTATGAGCCTGGACGCTGCAGAAGGTTCGATGTCATGCTATGGTCCGAGCGCCAACATGCGCCAACTGCTTGGACACTGCTAAAACCCTCTTCTGGACGTAAAGTCGGCATCTGGAAGGCAACCTCTTTCTCTCCTCAAGCCGCATCCACTTTGCCGCTTCCTCTTGCATCTCCGACAGCGCAGGGCCCGACAGCGAAGGGCCTGTCACCGCAAACTTGAACACGAAAATGATTACATCCGCAAGATCTGCCTCCTTCTTCTACATGTCGCATGCTACATGGTGCTGAATGGTAGCGCTTCGCGCCCCTGTCCAACAGTACATTTTTTGCACACAACATTTACAACTAGCACTGTATTGTACGAGAGTGGCGATCCGGCAAACACGAGCAACTGAAACCCTCTGAAGCCCCGAACCCGCACTCTCGGAGCGGATTGGCCGGAAGTTGGCAAGTCCATGGGTCCACAACGGGAACTTCTTTAGTGAATCCTGATATGAAAAACGGACGTGGGTTTTTAACCTCAAAAAAATCTGGGTGTATTCAAGTTCCCCCACGCAAAGAGGGCCCTAAAAGATCCCTGTACTCAAACAATCGGGGTTCCCGAATAATCCGGCCTCATTGAATGTGGCTCTCATGGTCTGGTCCCTTAGTCTGTGACCCAGACGTCCGGGTGAAACATCAATAAATTTTGATGGACATCAAAATACGAACGCCAGGCCACATCAACAAATAAATAAGGTAAAAATGGTCAGAACACATGATCTGATATTGATGGATAGCAAAGCCCAGAGGACCAAGGGACGCCGCAGTGAAAGAAGTCCGCCTCCAACGTCCAAGGACTCATCTGGCCTTGGGGAGAGCAATGGAGAGCATCATTGGGGGCGTATAACGGAGTATAACGGAGTAAAACGGAGTATAACGGAGTATAACGGAGTATAACGGAGTATAACGGAGTATAACGGAGTATAACGGAGTATAACGGCGCATCACGGACTAAGGGTTTGCCCAAGATCTGCCGGCAATGTTGCTCAGCGAATTTCTTGTCGCTAAGCGCGGGACACCAGCTGCGTCAATGCCTGGCGTACTCGTAAGCAATGCGAAGCTCCCCGACCGTTCGCTCTATGTTTCTGGGCTGCCATGTCTGGCACGCTGCACTCTCGCACTTGTCGTTTGTTCAAGTACGTTGCCCATAGGCAAGAATGAGATCAAGTGCAGCCGGAAAGGCTACCAGCACGAAGAAGGATGGCTCACTGCATCAGCTCGGGGCACGTGATTGCGCCGATACCTGACGCCATGAAATCGAACAAATGTGACGTTAGACCTCTGCGCTCATCGGGAGGACACGTACGGAGACCCGTTGAGGGTTCGGTTGAGGGAAGGACTTGTTTCTCTCTACGTGTGGATCCACTCGATCCGCTAGGGAGGCAACTGATCCGAAGAGTGGTCTTCAATGGTCTTCAGAATCAAATGCAAGCCAGGTGGCAGCTAATCTCCGAGGCTGCAATCTGGTGCGCAACTTCTTGCCCTCTCCATCACATGGGCCAATGAGGCCAACGCAACGCCGTCGGGAGGACTGCGCGCAGATCTGATGTGAACATGCGCAGTTGGCCTGACCGTCGCCCACTGATGCCTCCAATGTCTGCCCCCATGACTCTCTGCTGTCCACAAAAACAAAGAGCTAGGGGATTGAACTGCGCACACCCGATGACACAAGTCAAGCTTCGTTCTGATGGGACTGGCACCTGAAGCTTGGAGAGCAGCGATGGCAGTGCAATGTTTAAAGCCTTGGTTGAATTCAAGTTTCTTCAACGTGCGCATTGGATCCACGCACAGGACTCACACACTGTGCTATCGCTGCCTGCGCGAAAGCCGCCGCCTGCTCCACGAGAGGCTTGAAGATCTGTGGCGGAGGATGTTTGTTTGGCCTTCTATTTCTCCTCATTGTTTGGTGGATTTTGGGGGGGGGGGAGGGAGTTAAGTGTTCTTGAATAGGAGGATGTCAAGTTTATCTACGGGGAAACTTTGTTTCTCTATGTTTTTTCAGACGAAAACCTTGATTTTCTCTATATGGGTTGTTGTCAAAATGCTTGTTCCCGAAATTGACGTTAAATCGGAACTCCCTCGGTGCCGCCTTATGCCCTGAAGGAAAAAGAAGCTGATTGAGATGGAGTAGCAAACGCGACATTTGAAGGATCCAAGCATGATTTCCTAGAAAGGGTGCTAGCGCGGACGATTTTTCAGGCGCTGCTGTCGGACGAGTCGTCACAAGAACTGCTAGTGTTACTGCTACATACTGCTACTGCTGGAGTTCTGGCGCGAGCGAAGGTTTCTCCGCTGTCGCTACTTGCGGGGCTCGAGCTCCAGCAAGCACATCACTCTCGGTTGTGGTGGAGGAATGGGCCATGGTCTGCCGGGGGAGGTTGCGTTGACATTTTGCTAGCGCCGTGCTAGCGCGGCCCTAGCGCAAAACACTGTGCCAGATTTTCCAAGATCTGATACTACGACGTGATGATCGACGAAAACAAGCCAGGAGCAGCAAATGTACCAAGTCTAACAAGAATGTCGTTTCTTTCTTGTCATCGTTTTTCCTAGAAGAACCTCTATCCTGGCAACAGGGGCCCTGTCAATTCAAAACGAAGAGGCGCGGTTCGCCTGGCTGGGCCTTCTCAATCAATCTCTGTTGGGTTCGTTTAGTGGTGACATGCGAAATTTGAAATAAAGTTTGTTGATTTTACCTAGCGCGAACCTAGCGTTTTCCTAGCGCCACACTGGGGTTTTAGGGGATCCCCCTCGGTGCCGCCTCATAGCAAAGACATGAAAAGAGACCGGCCAAACCAATTAATGTAAACTAAAGTAACTGAGCAGACACGCGAATTCTGAACGCAACCCATATGTTAAACGGCAAACGTTTGCATTTTATCTACAAGTTTTCAGTTTTTTAGTTTATTTTTAGTTTTTTTGGGCTTTGCTTATTGTAGTTCTGTCTAGGTTTGCTTAGCTTCCTTAGTTTCTGTTGGGTTTCTGTGTTTGTTGTGAGGTTTTTCCTTACTTTCGCTCTAGTTTCCAGGCTTTGTCTCGTTTCCGTTGTTTCTGGCAGCTTTCTTATTGGAGTCGTGGGGCCTTCTGCAGACCACTGGATAACCAACAAAAATCCACAGCAACCAAGGCCAGCCCAATGGTAACCCTATTAAACGCTCAACCCTATACACTTCCTGCGACTCGAGGTTCTTTTCTGTAAACTCTTTGGTGCTACAAGCGACCAGGAGCCATGGAATTATTTAGCTTTACTTAGGTTTTTTCAGCTTTTCTTAGCCTTCCTTTGCCTCCTCAGCTTTTGGCCAATCTGCTGAGATATTCCTTGTCGTTTCCTTCACTGCTGAAAAGGCACTTTACATAGGCGGCACATGTGTGCACGTATGAATGAATTTGAAAAACAAAAAAACCTGGGGCGCAGCCCCCCACCCCACCCCCCCTTTCCGGCGTTGCAAACACAATGCTAGCAGGACGGGTTGCCATGCTGTTCACTGCAAGCTCTGTTCTGGGCATGAATTTAGCACAGCAAGGGAAATACTGGGGGGGGGGGGGGGTGGGGGGAGGTTGAAAATGCAAGCATGTGTGTGCAAGTGCGAGGCTGCTCCCCACCCCAGAACCGCGACGTTTGCTACAGAATTAAAACTAATCAAAACTATTTAAGATTAAATCACATGATGTAAAATGCTTTACACTTGATGAACACTGATGAAAATTGATTAAAATTCCTGACCTTGAATTTAAGTAATTAAAGGTCATAAACTTTGAGTAAATTGTAAACTTAACTAACCTTAAGTAAAGCTAAATAGATTTCATACCCAGAAGAGAACTTGCATTAATCATTAAACGCAACGGAGTCCTTTCCAAACTCGTGCTGCGAGCGTTGTGTTTGCAACAGGGAGGGCTGCAAAGCACCCCCACCCCCCCCACCCCCCGCTGTTTTGAGCTTCATGCCCAGAAGAGACCTTGCATGACAAGCATAAGAATTCTTGCCAACCTCCTGTGAGCATGCGTTCTTAAAATATTCATGCCCAGAAGAGAACGCACCGATGTGAATTTTGACAGCCCCAAGAAACGATAGCAACAGCCAAACACCAACGACATTGCCAACTCGATTGCGCAAGGAATGCAAACTGCAAGGGTGCAGTGACGGTCCACAGCGATCTCTGAACATGTGCTGACAAGGAATTCTCACCCACCTAGTGCTCAACAGCAGGTCGCTGCCAGCTGGGACCTTCTCATGGCTGCAGAGACGAAAATCAATAACGCTGGGCGTCGTGGGCGTTTCATCATTATCTAGGTTCTCCAGTAACCCCTTAGTGAAAGGGTACCCTTTTTCCTTAGCACTACGATTGCAATTATGATTACAGTGGTGTGGTGTTTCCACAGCTGAGATTGTTTCACGGCACTGCCTGGAAGCAGGTCCGACGATGTCAACTCCGTTGCGATTTAGGTATACATCGGCTAATCCGCTTCATATGTACCAGAACGTATCCCCGCAACTCTGGGAAAGGTCCGGAATCCACAGGTCCACTACGCCAGCTAAGGGAGCCCCTCATGTAAGGAGCTTGAAAAAAATACTCAAAATAGGACCGCAGCGGCCCCGAAAATGAGATAAAGCTCGAGCTCGAGCTTCGGATTTTACAGGCCAACCTGAAATCCACTGCGCCTGAGACCTCAAGCCTCAGAATTCTACACAGCACAAATCCTAAACCCTGACCCAGCAACTCAAAATCTACAGCCATCCCTGACAGTAGCAGTTGCCACAAAAAAAGGGAGTCATATCATCCCCCCAACAAAGCCTCTTTAAAGACAGTTGCTGGCCCAAGCTGCTGGGCAGCTTCCGGATTCGGCAAATGTCTCCAGTCCATCTCGTGTACGGTACGCTTGAAGAATAAATTCCGGAGTTCCCATTTTCTCGCAGATGTCCAGAATCACTTCTGACATGTTGTTGGCGGGCTGCCAGTCGTGGCTGGTCGTGCCTTTGATCCCTTTCATACCTGCTGGCCCGATATGCGCCGCCCAAATCCGCGTGAGGAAGGACACCCGGAAGGGCTCGAAAGGATAGTCCATGGGAAAAATGAACTCAACATCGAACACCCCCTCGGCATATGGTGTGTTGGCGCTGCCGTTGATGCTGACGATGCACCGGTCGGGGTTGGCCCAAGCAATACCCTGAAAGATGTCCAATCTTTGAAGGTCCATGACCTCCTTGAGAACACGCTTTCGGTTCTGCAGCAACGGCGGATCCTCAACCACCAGCAGTGGGCTGAGCTGCTGCGCTGCCAGATCTGAGGGAGCTTAGGTCGGCATCGTCCAGAGCTTCTCGCCAGCGAAGAGCTTTAGGCAACAAGACATGGGATCCTTGCCAATCCTGTTTGCTGCCGCTTGAAGTCGCATACCCTCTGGCCATCTCTGGCCCCCTGGGATAAGGAGCTCTGAGCTCACCGTAATCTCTGTTTGCTTGCCACTCATCTCATTGATTCTCAGAACACGCGGGTAGGGGAACCCGTTGTCGGAGGCCCAGCGCGTCCAGCGCTGCACATCCTCGGTTGCGGCCATGTTCGCTGCGCTACCTTGGCGGATGCGCTGCGGGGACCGAAGATGTCGAGAACCTAAAACGTTGATGGCTGCCGGCTTTCGCAATGTTCGTTCATGGGAACAGCTACCCCCCTCCTTCTATTGCGCTCTAGTCCGGAGCTCCCGCCAAGCCCATTCTCACAGCTTAAGACCCCAAACCATTGCTGGGGAAGTATCTGCCACGATCTTATGAGGTCGTAGTAGTCGTAGTATGCTCTAGCAAGTACTGAACGTGCAGACGTGCGACGCGGTCGTTGCGAGACTGTCCAGGCTTGGTGGGGAGCTGAATGAAGATCTTTGAACAGTTGCAAGTCCCGAAAGTTCAAAACGTCCTAAGAGTCAAATTCCCAAAAAGACCAATGGACTCGTTATCGTTCTTCATCGACTTCGGGTTTCCGAATTCACGCCGAGAACTTAACATCCCAGAGGGTTCTTGGCAATAGCCCCTCGGAAACAGGCCCTTCATGATGGTAATACGAGTACTAATAGCATCGCTTTTCAAGCGTTCCCAGCTTTACAGGGTTTTAGCATCAGTCATCCACGCTTGATGTCTGCAGGTGTCGCTTTGGAAAATTCAAGGCTATAGCCCACCCAACGGTTCTTTGACTTAGGGGTATCGCTTTTTAGGTTTCCCATCGCTGTACAGGGTTTTTTGCATCGTGGTCCACCCCTTACTTACTTGAACGGCTGGGGGTTTTGGCGCTTGCTCATATCATTCATTGTCTTACAATTCAGCCGCAACATTTGTTATCAGCTTTGTCGCTCGAGGGCGCAGGACCTGTACATCGGTCTCAGCAGGTCTTGCCAAAGTCTTGCCTGCTAAAGATACTGCACGAGCAAAAAACCTCGACGAGTGCCTAACGCGCGGCACTGTTCGGTGCGTGTGGGAAACGGCGCTTGGCGCTGGATCATTGCCTGGTTGCGAAAAGCTTCTGAATCTCCGCCATGATGACCTGAAAGAACGAAATCCGACGCTGCAATGATCAAGGGGTTTCACCACAGGTGCTCACCCCACCCTGCCTTGCGTGGTCCGAATGCCTTGATGTCCAGGTCATCACGCAGCTCCTCCATGGTCAGGCTGCGAAGGGCTTTGCCACTGATCTGGTTCTCGCGGAAACTGTCCACATACCTAGCATGGAACATCATGGAACGATGCGACACTGATGCCGGTCACTGCACATGCACTATGGACTATGGACATGCCTGGCCTATCCCACGTGCCAGCTGCATTATCCAAACTCGCGAGCCAGCTCGCGACCCGCTCCACACTCCAATCTGCGGGAGTCGACTCTTGAAACGTCGCGGTCTCCGCGGAGTTCTGCAGAGTCTCTGGAGCCTTCGACGAACATGCCGGACTCGGGGGGCACTCCGATGCCGCGGACACCGAGGATACTTCGAAATCCGAGGTCACCGACGGTGCCGAAGCTGTGGCGGCCATGCTCAAGCCGCTACTCAAGTGACCCAACTGCTGATCTTCCTGATCTTCCAGTTGCAGCTTCAGGCCCGGAGGAGATTGTGGAGGACATTGCGTCCGGGGGGCCGCCCTCGGCTTGGGCAGCGGATCCACTGGCTTGGCTTTCGGTTTTGGTAGGCTTGGGAAGCTGGCTGGTGAGGCCAGCTGCCGAGGATCCATTCGGGCCCCCGCCGGCTTTGCCAGCCCTCCTTGCGTCTGAAATGGACTCGGACCTTGGCGAAGTGGCCGGGAAGTTGGTGCCGGCCTGCCTGGCACGTAGAAGTTTGGGACAGCCTTCGTCCACCGATGCAAGTCTGCTAAGCTGAGGTCCATCGGATTGTCGCACTTCAGCACAGAGAAGCGGGTGTTCTTCAATGTGACGACCGGGCCACCAATGAAGTTGACCTTCTTCCGCTGCTCCTCCGACAGCAGCTGGGTGGCGAGATGGTTTTCTCCGAACTGGTATCGTCGCCGGCCCTCCGCGTCCAAGAAGAGGACGAGCAGGACGAGCTGTTTCACAAGCTCCGAGTTGATGACGCGAACCATCTGAAAGCCTGTAACACGCTCACACGGCATCTCCCCAAGCTCGGGAATCCAGATTCGGGCCGGCAGCTTGGCAAGCCTCGGCGTGAAGCGCAACACCACACGGGCAAGATCTGGCAGACCCTTCGGTCGCTGAGAGTCTTAGAAGCTGAGCGCCACACGCCTCGCGATCATAGTGCTGCTCACCGAGCTTCTCTTCACCATACTCGAAGCTGACGCTGTCGGCGAAGTCGCCAAGAGCCACGCCCTGGATGGGAGTCTTGGTCGCAGAAGGCACGCTCACGGGCATGATGCTGCGAGGATCGAAAAATTTCACGTGAGGCAAAGGGACAGCTTTTCACCTTGCTGGAGCCAGGCGGCGGGAGGTGCACGGCTCGCAACACTCATATCATACCCAACTCTTCCCTCGACATATTCCCAGCAATAGGGGTGCTTCGGGCCGAACTTCGGGCACGAGACCTGTACATGTGCGAAGCAGGATGGTCTGAGCAGGTCTTGCCAAAGTCTTGCCTGCTAAAGAGGCTGCACGAGCAAAAAGACCTCGACGAGTACCTGACGCGCGGCCCTGTTCGCTGCGTGTGGGAAGCGGCGCTTGGCGCTGGATCATTGCCCCGTTGTGATCCCGCATCTGCCAGCGTGCGGCACCCGATCACTTGTCACAGGGTCTTATATCCTTTTCCCAAGGTACGAATGGGCCGTCTTTCTGTACAGCAAAGAGGGCTCGCTCGGCCAAAGCATCACGAGGCTGCCCACAGTGGCTCTGTACCTTCTTCTGCAAGGCTGAAGCCCCGTCGGCGGTAGCTCGTACCGACCAGGGTCTGTCCAGCAGCAGTGAAACCGTTCCAAGCACGTGCAAGACGTCGCAAGGGTAGTGCTAGCCAGTGGCCTCTCGCAAGACACCATCCCACGGCAGCCACTGATTCCAGTCGCGGGTGAAAAACCTTCGCTGCTCGCTCAAGAAAGTACAGTTTTATAGCCTTTTAAGCCTTAAAGCCTATCATCAATGGCACATTTAACTTGCACAAGCGATGCCACGCGCAGCAACTTCAGCAGCCACACCAAAGACTGAAGCAGGTTTGAAGCAGGTTTGGGCATGGAACCCACATTGGCGGCAGGCGTTGTTGATGCGACTTCGGCCGACGGCCTCGTTGTGGTGACTCTGAAGATCGAAGCAATTCTCGTTGATGACAGGCCCGCAGCTGCAGCGGGGGCACATCTTGGCATTGGGATAGCCTGGGCTCTCACACACGCAAGCAATCACAAGAGCGTGTACTCAATTCAGTGAATCTGAAACATTGATGATACATTATGATAATACATGAAATTCATGTCCTGAACCATCCCCGCAGGCAGCGACGACGCAAGAACTCCGCGGAGGCCGCGTGCTCGCGGCGCGCGGACTGCTCGCTCTCGTACTGCTGCTGGATGCGGGCCACCTCCTCCTGGAAGCGGTGGTTGTGCTGCTCCCAGATCCGGTTCTCCGTCACTTCATCCTGAGCAGCCCGGTATGCCACGAAAACCTCCGCAGGGCGGCCGGTGTGAAAAAACTCTTCAAGACAAACCACACATCTCACCCTTAAGCACCCCAAGCCCAAGACCTCGTCTGGCAGAGCTCGCGCGAGCCACTGGTCCGTGTAGTGGCTGTTGCATTGCGGTTGAAATGCCGGATGGCGCCGCACGCATGGAATGAAGCCGCCCCGCTCTCGATGATCGTCCAGCATGGCATCACTCGCACCTACCCGTTCCAGAAAAGTCCTGACCATCTCGGGCGCGCAGTCGGTGCAAATCAGGTGCCCGTTGGGACAGACTAGGCTGTTGACATCCAAGGAAGCCTCCTCAAAGCAGAGCTCGCACTGACGACGCTCGGCCCGTTCGGCCTCGGCCGCCTCGGCCCGGGCAAGCTGCGCCACCTGCTCCTGCAGCCGCAGGCCCCGCAGCTCGGCCGACATGCGCTCCACCTCGGACTTCAAGGCCGTCACCTGCCGCCACGCGCCAAGACAGCCATGTCAATGTTGCCAAACTGGACTGATTACCAGGTCACGCCGAGGCTTCAGTATAGTTCATTCAGTAGCTCCATCACGACGTTCCGTGTCTCTGGGCCCTCTAACAAATTCATAGGAGTTCAGCGAAGAAGCACCATATATGAAGCGGACGACTGTTTTTCTTGTATCGGGGAGAGCTTTTCAACTTTGGGTGCCTCGGCCACCTCCGTGGCGCCACCCTCGCGGGCCTCGCGGGCCTGGCGAAGCAGCGGCAGGAGCCGCACGCGCCGCGGAAATCGCTCCACGGCCGCGGCTGCCATGGAGGACCTCGGTGATGCGATCATGAGGCTTCGTGCATTTTCGTGCCATCTCCCCCGAGCCACATCGGGAGGCGGAGACCGTTTTTCGGGTTTTAACCACCCAAACAACATCATTCTATGGACTCTGAACTCGTATCTCTCTTCATATCGAAGGGGCAGCCGCTGCACAACGTCAGCGCTGGCTCCCAAGGCCACGCGCCGATCGTGGTTCGCAGCAATGCGCTCGCCGTCGGCTTCCTTCTGGACAAGCTGTGCACATGGATTCCAAATTGCGAGGATCTTAAAGACAGCCCTGCTGAAAGAAGAACAAAAGAAAAGGCTCAAGACAGATTTAAAGGCAAGAAGGCCCTCCAACAAAGCCCCTCAAAACTCAAAACCATCCTCGATGAGGTCACGGAGGGTGGAGCCATCAGGCAGCTCGGCCGCAAAGTCCATCTGCGCAGTGATAAGCTGCAAGATCGTCACTCCTATCGAATAGACCTCCGACTTGTCGTTGAAGGCCCCGGTGTCGATGTAACGGGGGCACATGAACCCGGGGGTTCCCCGAAACCCCCGCGCTGTCGTCATTTGCATGGTCGCCCGGCTCTGCCCTGGCCGGTCTTGAGGCAAAAAGCGCGACAAGCCGCAGTCCCCAAGCTTCGGGGAGAAAGCGGCGCTCAGCATGATGTTGCCCGGCTTGATGTCCCTGTGGTAGCATGGACCTCGCCTTGGGCGCCCCGAATCTGAACCCCCGAAGCCCGGAACCCTGAAGCCACCCCGAAGTCCCCGTCACAAACTGCGCCAAACGACGCCATCCCGAAGTCATTGTCATGAACCACACCAAACTTTGACTAGCCTGCACGTAGGAATGCTTTCCCTCTGTTCAAGGTACGAATCGTGATTGTGCAGGTAGCTGACGGCCGCGAGAAGCCCAGACACGATGCTGCTACGGCGGCCCCACGTCAACCTCGCAGCGCTATCATCTGCACCTCGATCGAGCAACTTTCTAGAGTTCTATAGAGGGCCTGCAGGATTTACATGTTATTGCACGACATGAAAGTTCTTGCGCAAAAGAGTTTTGGGGTTCACCCGTCTGGCACCCGTGAGGGCGCGCTGTCATGTGCAGCGTGCCACGAGTGCTGGCAACACTGAACCGGGCCAAGGCACACAAGTGCCCGTCCAAGCTCCCTTCTGGCAAGAGCTCGTAGACCAGAACTGCACCCATGTCAAAGCAGAAGCCGATGAGCCTCATGGGTATCTCAAGCAATCCGAGAACAACTCATGGAACAACCCTACCTCACACAGAATTCGAGAGTGCTGCTTGTCTGTTTTTGTGTGGCCCTTCTCCTCACGATGTTTGGATGGGCGAAGGCGGTGTTGACTCGGATCTCGGCCTCGGTCATCCGCTCAAGGCAAACTCGCTGGTCAGGGTCTTCGCACTCCATCCGCTTGGCAGCAAACTCCACGAGCCCTTCGGAGGTCATGTCTACTCCGTGGTAGACGGTTCCATAAGCCCCAGTCCCCAAAGCCCGGTCTGGCGAGAAGTTTCCTGTGCATCTGGCAATGTAGTCGTAAGGCAGATGGCCAGGTGCCTCTGGGATGGCAGGCGATCTGACGAGTGCTGGTGTTGCCGGTCGCGACGGCACTGAAGGCGGCGAAGGCGCTGCCGTCGGAGGCGCTGGCGGGAGAGGCGCTGCTGGCATTGCTGGCGCTGGCGCTGGGGCTGGCGCTGGCTTGGGCTTGGGCGCCGGCCTGGGTGCTGGGTGTTGTGCTGGGGAAGACTCGGAGAGGGAGAGCGCGATGGCCATCTCCAAGTCTTCCGCTTCCCGCCGCTCTCGTTCCGACAAGTGGGCGGCTGGGCTGTCCAAGGACTGGGCAATGGCTTGGGCAAGCTGCAAGTCCTCGTCCAAAGCATTGTCTTGAGCGTTGCCTGCGCGGGGCCCGGATCGATCCCTCCGTAGACTCCGCAGTGTGGGCGGTGTGGGTGGTGGCGGTGGTGGTCTGGGCTGGTCACACGGCGTTCGTGCACAGCAAGGCCCAACTCCACATGCGGAGCACACAGAGGGCCCACCGCCACAGCCACAAATGCGAGGTCTGTGGGCTGCGGGGCGTGTGCCATCATTCATGCACTTTCTACCACTACGGCTCGTGAGACGCCAGGTGCACATGCCACATTCGCGGCAAACACCACACTGGTCACCATTGAACCTGTGGCCTGTGCGCTCTTGCTGAGTGGCCCCTGGGCCTCCGAGCTGCAAGCATCGAGAGCGGGCAGTTTGAGGGCAACCCTCGTGGCATGCACATGTACCAGCTCTGCCTCTACAATGTTCGCAGTGATCAGACTGACGGGTGTCGCATCTTGCACCGGCTGGCTTTGGGCAACCATGGCTGCATGAGCAACGTGCCGCCAGGCCGGCACAGTGGTAGCAGTGATGGCCCCGAACTCGGAACTGATCGTGGCCGGACTCTCGCGCGTGAGCCCGTGCCTCGGCCTGGTTCGCACAGCGGCGATCACAACTTTGGCACTCACGGGGCAGCTGGCTGTGTTCATCTTGCTCATCCGCGAGACATGATCGGAACTCACGGTGCCCGGTTGCATGAGTGTGAGCCCATGACTCCGCCCGGTTGGCACACCGTTCCCCACACTTGCAGCACGTCATGGGTAGCTGATCGGATGGGTCATCATCAGCCAAAGCTGCTGCAAGGGCAGCCAGCAACGCTCCTCCGCCAGCACCGGCCATCCAAGCTTGTACGCTGCAGGCGGCCTGGGCAGTTCCTAGCGGACCTTGATGTCGACAGCGACAGTATGCATATAAATGCATATACATATACAACATACATATGGGTAGATACGGCATGTGTATATATTTATTTCGTGGCATGCTACGCACACTCCGCAGAAGATGGTTCTGAGATTCCCATTCTTCATAATCTTCGTAGTTTTCATGGTCTTCATCGCATGTCCCGGGGCTCACCGTCAGAAGACGAGTTTTTTCCAGCAGTCGATGACGAGCGCCCTGTACGGTCGGCGCTGGTCCAAGCCTAGCCAGGCTGCTGCTTCACATCAGCCTGCTGGCATCAAAGAAGGGCGTACTGGCGATTTTCTTACACTCGGCAAGGACTAGGCGCCGAAGCGGCTCCCCAAGTCCGTTGGCATACTCTAACACAAGCTCAGGCAGGCGGATGCGCATGCTGCGCTGGAACAGGTTTTCCTGCCGCACGGCACAAAGTCACTGCACAAAGCAGAGAATCCAGCAGCAAAGAAGGGCTTGAAATGCGCAAGTTGAAAGAAAATTCACGCACAAAAGTCCTGGCTCTTGTTGAGGAAGTGCTGTCCGTAGAAGGGACAGTTGCCTGAATGGATGTGTGGGTCCTGCTTGCCACAATTGTGGAGGCAGAAGCCACAGAAGCCAGTTCGGCACACGCAGCAGGTGATGGCGAAGCAGCCAGAGAAGTCCAAGAAACTGATGCCACAGCCAGGGCAGGTCGGCACGGTCATGTGCTCCGTGATCTTTTTGACATGCTTGGCCACTTGGCCCTCCAAAGACATCTCGAAAGACCTGGCGAAAGCGGCGCTAAGATCAGTTATCATTGTTGCCATCACTTTTGCCACTCTGCGTGTCTTGGAAAGCATGATGGGATTTAGGCTTTAAGCGTTAAGCGGGCGCCTAGCCTCCTCTTCTCCGCTTCATCGCAGGACTCAGCCGTGTGCGGAGGAGCCCCACATCTCGGGCATTGCTCACAGAAGCAAACGCTGCAAGTGGTGGCGTCAAGCGTCTTGTCGAGGATCATGGGGCAGTCCTGACAGGGTCATGATGTGCGAGTTCCAAACATGTCAAGCGATGCCTGGGACGGTCTATACTCCAAAAATCTCTACATGAAATTTGTCTGACAACAGCGGCGGCAACTACTACTTCAGTCGCCATGGCCTGAACTCCCTCACTCACTCTCTGGTCGTGCTCTCTCAAGTTTCCCAATCCGCTCCGGCGTATGGCAGTTTGTAAAGATGCCAGGGTTCTCCAACATAAACACACGAACGCCGGCATTGTAAACTGCATTGATGTCTTCGGCGTGGGCAGAGATGTCTTCGTTCAGAAGGGGCTTGCGGCAAGATGGGTCAGTTAATGGAATCGTGTTCTCGAAGACGCTGCTGGCAATGTACTGTGGCCCACAATCCCCGCAGAGGAAATGTCCACATGTCTGGAGGCCGGCGTCAGTGTGCTCAAAACACACTGAGCACGCGTTGATGCGTGCCCCGACGGCTTGCATGGCATCTGACATCGCACTGCGTGCTTCCATGAAGGGCTTCGCCTCCTTGGCTGTAATCTGCACGCCTCGACCCCCTGAAGGGAAATGAAAGTCAAAGTCGACGTCCGCTCCGGGCACCTTCTTTAGACTGTCCTTGATGACTGCAAGATGTCGGGGGGGTACACGGAAGCAAGCTTCAAACATGCATTGCTTAGTGAAGTCGGCGAGCTCCTTGGCTACTGCTTCACGCCCTGCTGGCGGGCCGATCACCTCCACAACACCCTCTGTGAACTTCGACCGCACAACGCACTTGTGCGTCCTGGACAAAGTCGCCAAGAGCTTGTCCACATGTCCACGAGCAGCCTCGTTCTTCTTGGATGGGAAGATCTTAGTGCGATCCTGGGGCAGGAAGTGTATTGCTGTGCCCTTCAATAGGCCCGTGAGCTCTGCATAGGCCTGGGAGATAAGACGAGCATCCGTACCGCGAAGGGTAAACTCGATGCCTTTCAACCCGCTGCTGTCGCTGCCGAGGGTGCGCTGCTGGATCTTCAAGCAACCTGTTTCGGCCTTCGCCCGCGAGATGAATCCGTCCTCTGTTCTGTCGGATGTCTGCAATATGGACATGCTGGACAAGGCCCAAATTATGCGCTGGTAGCATGCAATGAGATGCGTGGTCGTAGCCTATCGTCACGACAGGAATGTTAACGAGTCCCAACAAGCCAAGAAAGCCAAGAAAGCCAAGAATGACAAGAAAGCCAAGAAAGCCAAGAAAGCCAACAAAGCCAAGAAAGCCAAGAAAGCCAAGAATCGAGCTGCTCCTTCAGAACCTCGCACACGTTCTGCGGAAACTTCACCTGCGCGAGGATCTCTAAGCTGGCAGAGGCGGTCAGGTTCTCCCCTTTCATCTCTGCACCATCAATCTTCTCCATTGCCTGCAGGGGAGCTGTAAATCCCAATGACAGAAAAGCCACATTCAGAAGGTTACAGAATGCGCGAATGATCATGAAGAGAGTTGCAATGCGTTGAATGACTGAATCATGCTGGGAACCCCCTGGGGGCTCCAGGGCGCTCAAGGCGGCTCCAGGGGAAGTCTCAAGGAGGCTCAAGGGGGAAGGGAGCCTCCTTTGCAGTTTCCGGCGAATCGAACCAAAGCAGGTATTCTGCTCCAAACTTGATCTGCGTCTCCTCGATGAAGTCAGGCTGCGTGACCAGGAGAGAAGACAAGAAGGACTGTCGGTTCTTGGTGCCGGAAACACCTCTCAGGCTCAGACTCTAGACTGATGAAACACAACACATGCAACAGGTAGTACACCAGGCAGAGCGGCATAGCTGGCATAGCTGGCATAGCCCCAACGAACCGTCCCGCCTTGGCTTCGAAGGTGCTTGGCTTCCTCTTCCGCCAGCGCCTTGTCGCGCTGCAGAGGTCGTACTGCATCTGCAAGGAGCTTCTGGGAGGTCTTGTTGGCCAAGGCCATCTGAAGTTGCCACTGCGTCATGTGACCGGGAACACCAGCCAAGTGCAAAGTAGTGGGTTCCACCTCGCCCATGCCGCCTCCCTTATCTCCCTTGCCTTTGCCTCCCTTGCCTCCCTTTCGAAACGGCTGGACCTGCACAGTGAAGGGGTCCTTGCCTGGCAGCACAAGCTCAAGTGGAACCCTGAAGTTCTCCGTAGCAGGGCTGCCCAACATCTCGGCGATCACCTCCTCCGACCCACAGTCGACCACGGCCGTGCCCTTGTGCTGGACTCCCGTCAGTCTGGCTCGCACTCGGCACTGCAAAGCCAGGCCACCCGTTTGCACCGGTGACGGCCGCATAGTGATGAGACGATCACCGATGATCGAACCCTGTAGCATTGCGCAGGCTCGCGAGGCTGCCTCCGTGGTCTGAAAACTGGCACGGCCCCACACGCGCTTCTGCTGGCTGTCCCAACGCACGTCTGCGTCGACCCCTGCATCAAAGCGAGAAAGCTGCCTCTCCAGCTCTTCTGCGATGCCCGCTTCCCCTTTCAACCTCGACTTGACCGGGATGATGACAGGCCCCGTTTCCGTGGGCACTTCTCCATCCGGATCCTCATGCTCCTCGGACTTTGCGACTAGGTCTTGTGCTGCGAACGGCAGATACCGCAGCTGAACTTCGCGGATGCCCCGTGACAGGGGGCTCATGCCCACGACCTTCATCACACTGAAGGCTGGCAGAAGAATCTCGGCTTCGCCTGGATAAACCGAGACATCATCCACAGGGCAACAGTATGGGATGGTAATCTCGAAAAGGAAGGTCTCGGAACCGGAGGTTGCCGTCGCAGCTGCGAAACCTTGGGCTACATGCTTTGAAGTCGAAGTGGAGGTAAAAGCTGGCCAAATCACTGACTCGCCTACCACATACTCCGCTGCACTATCCCGAGGAACGCTGCAACCACGGTAGACGACCTTCACACCAGCATTGAGCGGGTGCAGCGAGCGCTTCCGCACGAAGTTCTGCAAGGCATGAAGATATGGGGCATATTCTCTGCATCTCGCCTCCTGGCACGCACGCAGGAAGGGATTGCAGCGGTAGCAGAGACCTCCGGCAGTGTACTCGATCACTGCGACTGTGCATGCCAAGGGCATGTCCGCAAGGTCGGTGATCCTTTTGTTGTAATTTCTTGCTTTCTGCTCGAACTGCGCCCATGTCGGAATCACGCGGGCCGCTGTCATGTCAGCCACAGGCTGCATCTTGGTAGAAGCAAGGTCTGCGAAGAACCCAGGTGGGATCTTTCGTAGAGTCTTGATCGGTTCGCTGAGACGATCTGCGGCATTTGAGGTATTGAAAACAACGGAGATGGATTGCCCAGAGGACAGCAAAATCTCATGGCAGACTCCGCCGGTGCCAACCACTGCACGGGCTCCTGTGCCTGGGATCGGCCACTCCTTGCGACGCTTCTCAAGCTGCGTGGCTATGCTCTTCACCTGTGTCTCGACATTCAAGGCGATCTCCTCCCTGGTCTCCTCATTGCTGCACATGACTAGCACCATCTGCGCCCTTTGGTCGACTTCAAGAATTAGATCCTCCTCCTCTTCTAGGAAGTCCTCCTTAAACTCCTCCTGCAAGGCAGCAAGCTTCTGCCCCCGAGGGCCCGTAAACCGTCGCAGTGCCAGTGGACAGTCCACCTTCACCACGCTGGGATAGCTCATCCGCTGGCGGTGCCGGGCAGCGGACAAAAAATCTTCCAACTGCGGAGATGTGCGGTAGCTCGCCGGCAACTGCCTTTCGAAGCCTTCCTTTACACCGCAGAGGTTCGTGATGCTGACGTACCCGGAGTCCTGAATTTCCATGAAGAATGCGACCTGAGGGTAGGACATGCTGAGCCGAAAAGCGGACGCCACTTGCAGTCTGCCCACCTGGCTGTTTTGGGGTATGTAGTAGGTCGGCAGGGCCTGGGCATCGCCAGGCCGTGGGGGCAAATAGAAGGCCAAGTTGCCAAAGAAGCCCGCGAGCAGCGCCTGGAGCAACAAGCTCACCCGTCCCTCATCCCGAAAGGAATCTGAAGTCAGCGACTCCAGAGACCCCAGCGCGCTGCCAGTCTCGTTCATCTCATCGTCTCCTTCAGCTTCGGGTCTCTCCGCGGAGCGCGAGCCCTGCATGCTTTGCATCTCTTGAAACATGCTGCTTGCGAGACCGCGGCCTTCCCTCAAGGACTGAAAGTTCACGGAGTGCTCGAAGCACCAACTCCTTAGCCCCTGCCGCTCCTGCCCCATCTGTCCCATCTGCTCATTGGAGTCCATCCAAACGGCCACAGCAGCGCCAACGTCCCCCAAAGTTGGGAGCCGCTCTGCGAAGCCTTGTCGGTTCTTGAGGACGGCCTCCTTCTCCTCCTCGGAGCGGCCACGCCGGAAGAGGAAGCCCGTGAGCTGAGTCATCCCAAGCGCCACGCTGGCCAGATCCAGGACACGAAGCCGCTGCGCTTCGAAGAGGATCGCTGCGGCCCTTGGGGACGCTGACATCTGAGCCATGGCCATCCCTTGCTCCGTCAGCTCGGAGCTGTCGATACTCGTCAGGGCACGGAAGTGAAACAACATCTGCAGGGCCTTCTCCAACCTTTCGGCCCCAGGATGCTCCACAAAAGGGAAGTCTCGAATGCTCGAAACCCATTCGGGCTGCCGCTGAATCTGCCGAAGGACCATGAGGATGGCAGCCGTCGCGTCCTAGATTGCTTTGAGGCCACTACTCTGCAGGTACTCCTCCCTTCGGGATGAAGAGCATGTGGGGGAAGGGAACGGGAAACATGTCTGCTTTTTTAAGATACAATCCGGGCGTCGGCGCGCAGTAGCTCAGCGGGCTGGTCGCGCTCCAAATCCTCGAACTCCTCCTCCGAGTAGAGGCGGTAGCACTCCCCAGGCGCTGTTCGGCCTCCGTGGACAATGTGCAGAATGGGGAAAATGTGTTATCAAGAGCCAATAAAGGTATTGCGAGGTTTGGGGTCTGACATGCGACGACGTTCTAGCAGACGTTGTACGAATGACCCTGTGACAACATTTCCAATTGTACGAATGTACGAGACCCCGTCAGCAATAGACCCAGAAACACTATGACAACTTATGACCACGCTTGATAACGAGGGAGAGGAGGAGGGGGGGAGGGCGGCGGTGAGAGCTTAGCCCGGCCCCGGCCTGCTCGGCCAGCCCGCTGCTTGGCACTGCTCTGCGCGATGAGGCCAACCCGCAGCACCGTGGCATCTTTCTTCGGATCGTACCGGGCCTGCTTGGCCATACCGGAATCGATCACTGCTCCAATGCCATCAATGGTGACGGAGGTCTCTGCGACGTTCGTGGCCACGACGATCTTGCGCCGATAGACGTTTTTGTCTGCAGGCAAGAAAGCTTCTCGCTGCTCCTCCTTCTCCAAGCCACCATGCAACGGCACACAGAGGCAGTCTGGCAGTGCTTCCCGCAGTGCTTTGGCACAGCGCTCCACCTCGTCTGCTTGGGATAAGAACACGAGGATGTCCTTGTTCACGCGAGCCTCCAGGTCGGTCGGCGGAAGCTGTTGGTTGACGGCAATCGCCTTGGCCTGGGCAGCACGGACGTAGTCCTTCTGGCTGCCAGATGCCTCGTAATGCACATCCACAGGAAAGGTGCGACCACCAACTTTCAGCACAGGAGCCCAGCTTTCATCCAGCAGTGACTCAACATCCCATGTCTTGCGAGCAAAGTATTTCGCAAAGAGCGACTCATTCATCGTGGCCGAGGTGAGCACCAACCTGAATGGCCTCTTGCCAGCCTGGGCCCGCAAGGACAAGCAGCGCCTCAGCACAGCAATCAGCACGTCGGAGCTCACACTGCGCTCATGCACCTCGTCGACGATCACGGCGCTGACATCAGGAATTTCATTGGAATAGTAGAGCATGTTGAGCAAGCGACGGTCTGTGAGGAACTGGATGGTAGGCTTCTTCTTCTTGATGGTACGTGTATCGCTGCTTGCAACCAAGTTGCACCGGTCCTTGCTTGGCGCTAGGGTTTGCATCTCCTCTGCAACACGATCGGCCAAAGTGTTGGCAGCGAGGCGCCGAGGCTGTGTGCACAGCACACGTCCAGAAACCATTTCACTGATGTACTGCACAACCTGGCTAACCAAAGATGCGTTCATGCATGTACACACGCACTTGAGCTCGCTTCGGATGCACTTATTTTACGTGTGCAGAAAAGAAGTCAAATTCTGTAGATGTTGACTCAACCATACAATTCAGTGCATCCTGCAAGTTTACATGAAAGCAAGGCTGCGGCTACAGCTCGCCTGCGTGCTCTTGCCGCTCCCCGTCTCCGCACTGAGCACCAGGACTGAATAGTCCTCCCGAAGAGCATGCAAGATTTGTGCTCGCTCCGCATAGATCGGTAAGCACTTCGCAAAGCGGTTGTAGACCTCACGCGCAAAGAGCCGAGAGGCATGAAAGGACTGAGGGTCCGCTTGTCCAAAAGCCATCTGCGCCGACTCAAACCCAGCGAGTTGCTTGCGAACCTCTGCGATCTGTCCAGCCTTGGCCTCTCGGCTAGCCGCCTGCCACTTGGCTTTCGCGGCACTCTCGGCACTATTGGCCCCAGCCTCTTCCTGGGTCTGTCAAGAGCTAGAAAAAACTGAGCACAACCGTACCGAAAACTTATTTCTTCTCCGTAACCTCGTCCCTTCCGTCCACATAGTTATGCTCAAGCTTTCAAATAAATGAGCATCAACCCAGCCTCCGACTCTTCCAAGGCCGACTCCAAATCCTGCAGCCTCTGCCGGTGCCGCGTCAGCAGCTCCTCGGCCTTCTCAGCCATGGCCTTGCGGCGCTGCTGCAGCGCACCTGCGGGGAGGGGGAGACGGGGAAAGTTCGGAGGCATGGGGCCATCCCCCCCCCCCCCCTCGAAGTGGCTGGAAACGTGAGCTAGGCTTTTTGTTCAGCTGTGACGGTGACTGTTTTGGGGACGCGAGAAAAAGAACGATAACTTGATCGGAATCGCGCCTAGCAAGTGTGCCAGGCTCGTGGGTCTGGCTCCGCCCTGCTTAGCGTGCTCCCCGAGCTGCGTGTCCAAGCGGAGGATGTCTTCCATCTCTGTTGGATGAACGAAGATGCAGTTCGTCTTGGCACAGGCAGCTCCATCCCTGCACTCCTTCAGCTCATGCTTGAAGTGGCAGAAGATGCCCCGAGAGCACGGTACGGAAGACTGGCCAATTTCGGCCAACTTGTGGTGCCTGCAACACCCGTGAGGGTGTGAGCGAGGCCAGCTCCCCTTGACCACCGCCGCGCAGTCGCGGCTCATCTGCTGAAAGCGGTCCCAGTCTGGTGTAGCAAAGTGAGTCATGAAACCTACGCTTTCCGTGCCCAACTCTGCAGCGCCGTGAGCGTAGGTGCATTGATCACCTTTCGAGCATGAACCTGTGTTCGTGTAGAAGCTGCACAGGCGCGTCTTCTTCCGCGGCTTCTTCTGCAGAAAGGCTTGGAGGATGGAGTCTAAGCTCGCCTTCGCCTCTGCAGGTGGACATGCGGTTGAGCCAGTAGTCTGTCCTGCGATCGTCGCGGTCTCGGACTTGTCGATCTCGGTGTCCGACACATCCCGTAGCTCACGCAGGTTCGCCAGGGTTTCTTCCACGTCTAGCCATCTGCGCAATGCATCAGCAGTCAGGAACAGCTTCAAGCTGTCATCATCCCGCGTCTCAAGCTCGAAAAATGGTCTTTGCGACACAATCTCAGCCGCAGTGCTTGACATGGGCTTGAAGGTGAGGATGACCGTCTTCAGATAGTCAGCCTGTCCCTTCCCGGTACCCTTGGCTTCGACCTCATGCCACCGATTGCCGCACACCTCTGTACCGATTCTGTCGACCTCGCCAGCCCGGGGCCCAACATGACACTACACATCATGTTATGGCACCTTCCGGAACCTAAGCGCAGCCCTGAGAATACCAAAGAAACCCGAAGAATTAGCCAGTGAGTAGGGGGAGGAGTATAAATAGAAATGTTTAATCGGGATCGAAATCCATAGTAACCGACCTTCTCCGTGGCTGGCACGTCGTGACACATCAGGATGTGGCTCTGCCCAAGGTCCAGCGTAGCCTCCCCCTGCAACTCTTCGGGCAAGTTCTTGCGCGCCTCCAACGCTGCATCTGCGGTGGTGAAGTACACGTTGGAGCTTCGGGCAACCACTGCCCCAATTTCTGCTTCACTGTGAGCAGCTGGGCAGTCGTCCTGATGCCTTCCACACAAATTGCATCTCTTGGGGAGTAAAGTCCAGGGAAAGTCCAAGGAAAGTCCACCTCGCCCCTACGGCCGGGCGTCTGGAACGAGAAGACCATGATGTCCTATCCCCTCTTCCCAACCCCCATCCCGCTCCGTCAAAATCTAGCAGTTGGCAGCCCATTTCGAATATCAACCTGGACCTGTACTTCAGTAAGTCTTACCCTGCTGTGGAATTACACATCGGATGCTTGTCGTTTTTGAAAGAGGACCGGCCTCCAAACTATGCATGTGCTCTCCTATTCTGCGCGCTTTGAGGCATTTGCGCTCTCTCCCTCTCTCTTTCTTGCTCTTTGGACTGAAGATCTGTTAGTTGCAGGGAGTGCTTTGACTTTGAGGTTTGAAGGCTTTGGGCGATCTCAGCTGGTTTAGGTAGAAAGCCGTAAGCCACTCTTCCTGGAATCCCCCCGCTGAGACCCTCCCGGGAGGTCCCCTGCTTGGGACGTCCTCGGAGAGCAACCATACAGTAAGAAAGAACCCTTCGTGGCTTGGGCCCGCTCCCATGGCGGCGCGTTGTCGCAAGCATTTGCAGCTAAGTCGGGAGTTGGGGAGGCTACTCCAAAGTCGGGACAGCACCACAAGCACAGGCACTGGCACGACATTTCAGCCTGCAGTTGCCCGCTTCGAAGAATTTGCACATGGATGTCTTCGTCTTCGTAGAGTGCGTGACCTTCCTGACGGTGTTTTTCGGAAACATGCCTTTGAGCTCCTCCACGGGTCTATGGCCAGTGACACGTAGCACCTGTGTCCTACCAGTAGTCATCTGAATCAGAGCACGCGGGCAAGCAACCAAGACCTTCAGGCGTAAGCTTCCAACAAAGCGTCCATCCAGAAGAGCCACTGCACGTGCAGCAGCAAAGGGCTCGGCGGAGATGTCAAAGGTCACGCGCGAACGAACAAAGTCTCCCTTGCCGGCAGTAACCTCGACAGACTCGACGGGCGCCACCTGGCTGCAACAGTTGCGCATGAAGGCCTCGCATAGTGGATGGGAGCCCAAGGTCTTGTGCTCCACTGTAACTGCGTCCGGCCTTCCATGCGCATCCCAGCACAGGAGCCCTTCTGCACCTTCCTCAAAAACGAAGTCATCATCCTCCTCGGCATCCTCGGCTGTGGCCAGCTTTAAAGTTGCGATCAGCCGCAAGCCTCCTGCGGCCTCCACTCGAAGCTTCTGCACGACGCAAAGCTGGCCTGTCTTTTGCACAAGGACGCGCCGGCCTTGCCACAGTTGATCTGCAAGCTCGCGCTCATCTGCTGAAACTTCGAGCAAGCGGCATTTGCTCACAATGAGCCTGTGCATAGTGAAGTGATCCTGGAGATTGGCCATTTGGCTCAGCACGGATCTCGCCTTGCATAAGGCGTCGCCTGTGCCTTTGAGAATGATGCCCACATGAGAGAGCGCCTGTAGATCCACATCGAACTGGTTCTTGATGGCCAGAGCATGCTCCAGAATGGAACTCACCGCAACCGACGGCAGCCTAGCAGTATCGCACTCCTTCTGAGCAAGAAGCATGGCTTCCAATAGTTCTGGAGACTGGCTTTTGCCTTTGCCCTTGCCTTTGGCCGCTGCTGCTGATGGTGCTGACGGTGCGGACGACGAGGATCCGCCGGCGGCCGCTCCTCTTTCCCAACCAGGGGGGTGCTCGAAGGCACAGTCCCAGCGGGTACATGCCATGCCGTCGCGGCAGTCAACTTTGCCCTTGCCCTTGCCCTTCGGAGCAGCTGCTGATAATCCACGAGCGGCCGCTCCTCTTTCCCAACCAGGGGGATGCTCGAAGGCACAGTCCCAGCGGGTACATGCCATGCCGTCGCGGCAGTCAACTTTGCCCTTGCCCTTGCCCTTCGGAGCAGCTGCTGACAATTCGCCAGCGGCCGCTCCTCTTTCCCAACCAGGGGGGTGCTCGAAGGCACAGTCCCAGCGGGTACATGCCATGCCGTCGCGGCAGTCAACTTTGCCCTTGCCCTTGCCCTTCGGAGCAGCTGCTGATAATCCACGAGCGGCCGCTCCTCTTTCCCAACCAGGGGGATGCTCGAAGGCACAGTCCCAGCGGGTACATGCCATGCCGTCGCGGCAGTCAACTTTGCCCTTGCCCTTGCCCTTCGGAGCAGCTGCTGATAATTCGCCAGCGGCCGCTCCTCTTTCCCAACCAGGGGGGTGCTCAAAGGCACAGTCCCAGCGAGTACATGCCATGCCGTCGCGGCAGTCAACTTTGCCCTTGCCCTTTGCCATGCCTTTGTCTGCTGCTTTACCCCAGCCTGGCACAATGATGCAAGAAAACAGGCGCAACACCCCAGACACCGCAGCAAACCGGGGCTCGAGCCCTTGCCATGGATCGGTGGATGGTCCATGGCGGTGGTCTAGCCCGCAGACGTTACACACGGATCGCCAGCTCTCGGGCTACTCAGATACACCGTGAGAACTCAACTGCTTTGCTTGCCTGTACTGCCAGTGCCAAGAATGCTTACCATCACACGGCGTATCACCTCCATGCTTGAGCTGGTCCAAAACCTAGCACCCCGAAGATGCGAGTGCAAGCACCCAGTGAGTTGAGTGGAGCTCCCCCGCGAGGCCCATATTGATGCAAGCGCGAGCACAGAATGCGAATATGCGGAGCAGCACAGCTTCGCGAAGTCAGGTTACCAGACGCTCAGCACCAAAGGCCAGGCGCTGGGCAGGTGCTGAATGGTGCCGACTGTACAAGCACCAGAAAAGGCTGCAGCCCAAGCAGCTCCAAGCTTCACGGATCCATAATGGAGCGCGGCCTGCTCACACGCGGCTTGCATCCTTAATGAGTAACATAGCTTCACGGCCACTGCACCACTGCACGAGAACGAGCAATAAGAGTCGGCCTGTTGCGAGCTGCTGGTCAAGCTATACATGCGGGACATCGAGAGAAGAGGACGTGTAGCGGCCCTTGGCCATCTGCGCCAGATGGCTCTGGTCCTGCACAGGTCTTGCTAGCTTTCATATCTTTCAGAGTCTTTCATGGATTGCGCGCAGTCCTCCGCAGACCACCACTCGGGCGGCGCACCACCAAATATGGTCCGTGCCTTGAAAGGGGGATCCGTATCCGTGGTCCCCAACTTTGAGGAGGCATCCGGTGAGGCGCTCGCCGCCTTCTTTCTGGCGTCTTCGGTTCCCAAGATGGGGTCCAAGAGCGCCCTGGGATCCGTGCATGGTCCCCCCCGTCAGATCCTCTCAAAACGGGTCGCGCACTTGAGCTCCTGCTGAAACTTCGGCCGGTTCCTGACAAATTGAATCACGGTGGCTTGCCGCGTCACTGCAGCGTATCGCGTTGTGTCATGCTAAGCGCAACGAGTCAAAACAGCTTCGAGCTCCAGGCTGGTGGAAGGTTGGGTCCTCAGCTGAACCCATGGTCATCAGACCACATCCACAGTATGATTCACAACGTTTCAAACAAAGTGGCTGCCGCAAAGGTGAACATCCGAGCCGTAGTGGCCTCGATGTGGAGCCACATGCTGCTTTGTTTCAGATGTGATGCCACATATAAGGCAAGGGCCCTCATGAAGACGTTTGGGTTCAATGTGATGCGAACTTGTCCCTGAATGGCAACAGCCTGCAACGCAGGATTCGATGTGCCAGAACAGTGGAAATTTGTGTAGAAGCGCAACACGGCACAACCACTCCGCCCACCAACCAAAGAAAGAGCACCAAGCTTCCAACAGAAGATTTTCCATGGACATCTGAACACAAGACAACGTTGGTTTGCATGCTTTTGCTCCTTCAAAGCACGGATTTAACATGAACTGTGACTGCACCATATTAAACTACAGTACGTTCGAAAACCCTTTCTCACCTTGAAGCGGGTGCGGAGGAGGGGGAATTTGGATGATCAAGTTCAGTGAGTCAATCTGGCAATGTTCACAACGTTCAGAGCAGCATTTGCACAAAACATCTGAC